CATGTGATCCAGCACAGAAACTGAGGACTGTGATCAACATCAGCAGCTTCTGATGAAGTGTTTTGTTTTGTTGATTGGTTCGTTGGTGGGTTTTTTGGTGTTTGTTATTTACTGTTACCAGTGCAGCAGTTTTTTTTTTTTTTTTTCTCCAGTAAGGAAATTACTGTCAGTCTCTTCTATACCTCCCTTCCTTAACTGCAGAAGAAAGAATCTGCACATAAGATCAGAAGAAGAAAGGCAGATTATTTCATTACTTAACTCTTAAGTACAAACTAAAAGTCTCTGCGAGGTCCTACACACGATGGCAGGACTGCTTGATGGTATTTCTGGTATTGCATGTCTGCACAGAGGCTACTCTGCCAACAACTCTTATTTTAAAATTTGATAGAATTTATGGGGCTATGGATCTTGGAGAGAAAATATTACTGACTGGGAGTGTAGTGCTTGAACCCAAGATACATGAACAGACCTATAACAGAACCAGGCACAGGAAGAGAAAAATTGTAGAGAATTCATGTGGACTTAACTGCTGGCAAATTCCTGCTTGTGTGGGTACCCATTACTATGGAGAAACAAATACTAATATCTTTCAGGTCCAGACATGATTTCATATCCTAAGGCATCCACCATCTAAGTGCACCTTTCAAAGCCAGAATGATGACTCAGAGTCTCAGGGAAAATGTCACAGCCATCCTGAAACTTTTACCCACAATTGGTCTGTCCCTGAAAAATGCCTGGACCACAACTTGAATCCGGGAACTGGAGCAAAGAGAGCGTAACATAGGAGAAACACTGTGAGCTCTGGCTGTGCAGGAAAAACAATGCTGCAGTGCTGACAGCTGGGAGAAAGTCACCTAGGTTGATTCATTCACACTCAGTAGTTTTTGTTACTCTCCATGGCTGAGGCTTGCAGGGTACATACATTTCATTGTTTACTGTAACCAGCAGTGATGGAACACTTCACATTAGGAACTCACAGAGTTTTTCCCTGTGTTTTCCATGCAGCCAAACCAGAATTTCATCCTCATCCATCAAATGAAAAAAAGTGAAGAAGCAGTATCTTGAACTGTTCCTTAAAAAGTCCCTGCATTCATTTTGTTCTTCACAAATGCTGAACTTTCATTCAGCAGATACTCTGTGTACTTCGTGTATTCTCAAATTTAAGATCAGGACTAGTAAAGGAGATGTTCCAAAAAAAAAGAGATGTTCCAATATACAAACACTGTTATATCTCCCAATACAGCGGGATCTTCAAAAGCTGAGGGGCTACAGGGAGAAAATTTTAGGAGGCTGCTCCTTGCCTGCTGTTGGAAACTCATCTTCAGCTCCAGCATTGATACATTTAGTAGAGCAGTGGGAGACTGTATGGGACAAAGGGTTCCTGTTCCACACTTAAAAGTTTTAAAACTAACTGCAGTGAGGAGTACAGATCACTGAACACAAAACCACAAGCAACAGAAAGCTAACGACACAGACGTGCTTGACCTTGGCACTGCTGCATGCGAGTTCTCAGGAAGACATTTCAGTGGCTGGAAAAGATGAACAGGCTTGGTTGGTAAATTGTAGTAAAAACTATTCCAGGGGACAGACAGACAGATGTGCTGCTGGTAAGGGACAAGGCTGTTTGGGGACACTTATTCTGGCTACTGGAAAATGCAAGGATGTAATTATCGATTATTTTTAACTAGAACAAATTTTCAGGTCCAGAGAGGGGAAAAAGCACAAGAAGGAAGCACAGGAAAGAAACCAGTTGGATATAGCTGGCAGGTCGATTCAAGCATGAGAGCAGAATGTGCTGTTCTTTGAAATCAAGAAAAGGAGATGTTATCTGCAAGATGGTAATCCTACACAGTGCTTCTGCCTACAAAGCAAACTCTGAATGTAGCTGAAGGTTTCTCCAAACACTACATTTGAGCTGATCTCGTCACAGGAGCATGAGTTATCATAAAGCAGCTACAGAGTTCAGTGAAACAGAGCCATAGAACTGTTTTGAAATGTATGAACATGTGCTTGTATCTCCAAGTCATACTGATGATCTGCTTTCTCTTTCAGCCCTCCGGGCAGCTGTTGCTTGTGTATCGCAGACTTATTCTATATTAAGAATTGCTATGCAAAATCCTGGCTGTCACCCAGAATGGCTGATACAGAAAAAACACCCACTGCTGAATAAACAAGATTCCTAGAAGCTCCTTGAGAAGGGCCCAATGCACAATGTCAAGGGAGACTCAGACCTGGATTCTCCAGAGTTAAAGAATTTGAGCACGACTGTCAAGTGTAGCTTTGTCTGCTGCAAAAAGAAACATTGGCACTGAACTTGTCACAGCTCCTGTACCACAGCTGTAGTCAGAGGTCATGAACAGCCTCACATTTCTGACAGCACTGGCTGCCCCATCACACAGGAGTCACAGCAGCATTTAATGTGATTAGTAATGAAGGGGAGCAGGCTTTTGTTTTGTTTTGTTTTTCTTTTACAAGCATGCTCCACTCAGAGCACATTGCCTATTATGAGAGAGCCAAAATCTGCTGTAGAGTTTAGCCAAGAGTGCAAATTCAAAAAAGCTTTCATCATATTTATGTCCCATTCTTTAGCACTTCCTCTGATGGTGGTAACATAGTACAGCATACAGCTCTATAAATACCTGTGAAAACTAGCCCAACAATAATTGAATGGCATGGCATATAACCATGCCATTTACAAGAACATTTCCCAAGGCTTCCTAGAATGAACATCTCTGAATAGCTTTTGTAATTCTTATTCAGGACTGAAGCAGATTAAATCTTTCGGAGATCTAAATACATAGGACCCAAGAAAATCTTATTTACCCAGCATTACAATCTACCCTGCAAAACTGTGAAACACCTATGGGCTTATTCGAACCACAGGATCTATTCCTTTATGGTCAACAATGATTGTGAAGGCCAGAACACCGCGCTGTCTTGTTGAAACTTCCATGTCAAACATAAGAACATGAAGCAGGGAAGAGTTCCAAGACATGGCACAGGGAATTCACCAGGCATAAACTGGATCTGGAGATGAAGCTGTGGTCCAACGTACAACTAAAGCAGCAGCTCAGAGAAAAGAGAACAGATAAACCACATATCCTCGCTCTGAATCAATAAAGATGCCACAAGGTATTTTACAGTAACCTGGATGTCCCTGCTAAATTTCTACCCAAATGGTTTTATTCTGCCTCCTAAGTTCCCACAGAAGCTTTGCTGGACATAATAATCTACCTGTCTTTTCCCACAGGATTGTGCAGTTTGCTAAATGTTCTGACCCTGTTGCATGTAACAAAAGTGCTTTAGAACTGAGGTGTACCAAGAGCCAAGGTCTCCATAAAGAAAAAGGGGATATTTAAAGTAACTTCACAGCCTAGCTAATAGTCCTGTGATGGGTAGTTGACTACTGTAGGACGCTCTGGCTCACAATTGATTTATAGCAAACTCTCAGTGCCTCCGGTAATGTCTTTAATCCTTTCATGTTTGCAGCCAAGATTGTCTCTTTGCCTGGAGCTCTCCAGCTGCTCCTCTGTCAGGGTAGCTTGATGGACAAAGCAGGACAGGATTCATTAACACTTGGCATATGTAGATGGCAAAAATGAATGTATAAATTGGATTTTATCTGGGGAGTTCATCCTGAGGGGCAATACGTTAAAACAGAAAAATCCTGAGTCTTATAATGTAAAGGAGAAGTTGCGATTGCCAATGGATGGAGCGATGCAGTTGCTGGCAGTCGAAGATAGTTGCTATTTAAAGATACTAACTGACATGTAACAGGTGGCATTTTCAGAAAACCCAACTAGAATTCCTAGGGGGAAGAAAAATATTTTAAATTCCTAAAATCAGATGTGACCAACACCCCCAGCTCTCTGGACTAGGGGAGCTGGCCAATTCCTGCTTAGGTTGGCTGAACAGTTCCTGGGATGACTGAGCAGCGCAGTTTTACTTTTCAACCATGGAAGGGTTTGCTCTGATTCTCAAACCCACACTGAGGGGCTCTGTGTGCAGACACAGGGAGAACTGATGAGCACAAGTCTAACTGTGGTGCTGGCAGTGGAAGCACTGAGCAGTGACACTGCCACCATTGTCCTGCTGGCCAGCAGCTGCACAGGAGCTCGGGAGGAGTGTATTGCTGAGCCCTGTCTCACACTGCTCTCCACTGCTATTCCAACAGGATCACAACAATTCGCCTGTGAAATCCTATGTAAGGACTGGCTGAGAGAAGAGTTCCACTAGGTCTGATGAAGCTGATGCCAAGAAGAGAAATTGTGGCACACGGGGCTACAATGCCCACTTCTGTGCTGTTCAACTCGGGATTTGTTGGCCTTCACTTAATCGAATGTGTGGTGTGTGTTGTGGGCCCTGGAATGAAAGCAGGTCTGGTGGCTGTTGCCAACACAGGCACTGTGACTTACCCATGAAGAAATACTCCGGGGATCTTTTGTCTGAAGCAAACTCTGCCATAACCCCACCAAACCGCAGCCACAGACCAAAGGCAATGACAGCCAGTCCTGCCGCCTGGAAAATAAATACACATTTTGTGATGCTGGAGGGCATCAAAGAAGCTCACTGGAACCTTTACATTCTTGAAGCCTGACAGCTAAGGACTGTGCCAACAGAAAATTCAGGGACCTCTTACTCTTATTTGAATAACTGAATTCATATTACAGAGCCTGGATTGAAGACAATGTTCTCTAGTGAAACCCCTGTCCGATGAAGTGCTGCCTGCCCAGTAGTTGAGCCCTACTGGCTTGACACACAAAAATTTTAGGACAGAAGTAATTCCACTGACTTTTTCCAACCTCCATTGTTATTCTAGGGCTAAATAGCAGGCTTTTGGGCTGAGCAGTGCCTCCTCCCCTGAATGCATTACTGTTTCAGCTCCAAGTCATGAGATGGGTGATGCGGAGGCGCCAGCTGGACGTCTTAACTCATCACCATACTAAACTATAGGTGACAGTTGGGCCATTTCAAAATTGCTGCTGCTGTTGGATTGTGAGAAAGGTTCTGATTAGAGGCTTATCCAGAAAGAAGGGAGAGGTCTGTATTGCTCTTAGAGAAGTTAGGCATGTTTGACTAATTACGACAGGATATTTTTTCTATAAATCACTGTGGGAATCACTATCAGAAATATAATTTAAGAGGATTAGAGTGTAGAGTACCTTAGGTCACAGAAATGTCTGACAAAGAAGTGACTGGTGCTGTCAAATGCAAGGAAGACTTCCCTTAAATGCAAACAAGTCTAGAACAAAAAGGAGATGAGGGGAAACATCTGTAGCCAATGACCTAAAGCCCGTCATGTGCTGGGCACATCTATGAAGCTACCAGGCCATGTGTGTGTGTGCTCGCAGACAGTTTAAGCACCGTGCACGGCAGGCGCAGTGCTCTCCAGCTCCACTGCTGGAGGCCCAGAGCCTAATTCTGCAGCCACTGCCCAGCTGGTATGAGGTTCACAAAATACTTGCTTGCCACATCCTTAGCAACTTGCTGCTTTTTGTCATTGTTGTTTTCTTGAGTCTGTTCTGCATTTCCCTGCACTTGATTTAGCTAGCATAGGTACAACAATCAAAGAAGGCAGGAAAGCAGAGAGCTGAGCAGTTCAGGGTCACAGCTTTCCTCACCAGAACCGAGAAACGAATTGAGCTGTGGCTCAGAGAAGCCGAGTCCGTCTGAGCCTGATCACGGCTCTGCGAGCGGGGACTCAGCCTTGGGACTGTCAGAGCACATTAGCCAGACTTCTGTGTGACTCCAGTAGCTTGGACATGTTTGAAATGAATGCTCGAATCCAACTGAGGAGTTTCTTCCTTGTCAGTGTAACTCGAGATAACAAAACACAGCAATTGTCACTTCTGTGAAGCAACATAACGCCAAGCTTTGTCCTTCTCCCGCTGACTTGCAGCTGCAGCTGAGCAACACCACTCTGCTCACAGAGCTCGAACAAGCAGCAACACTGTGTGCTTGGAGCTTGCAGTGCTGTCACCAAAAGGGGAAAGCATTTGTTTTAACCGCGTTTAAACCATAAAGGAGACAAAGTCCCAAAACTGCCTGCTCCAAAGAGGCTGAACAGGAATATGTTACGATTTTTTTTTTTTTTGAAGAACAGATAATCAGATGGGAAAAAAAGGCATTAAACCCCTCCCTCACAGCACGTTTCTGATTATCTTCTAATGCGAAACTGAGAAGTTCACAGTTTCTAATGTGAAACAGGCAGTGTGGGGAAAAGTGAAAGAACGAAGAAAGGTAGAATGAATTAAACAGTGCTATGGCACTGTGACTGTTAAGAAGGTGTTATAAGTGGGCATAACATTCTCTGATCTCAAGAGGGTGTTGCAATAAATAGAATCACAGAATGGGTTTGAAGTGACCTCTGGAAATCATCTGGCCCAAACCCCCTGCCCAAGCAGCACCCACTAGAGCAGCAGCACGCTGTTTCAGCGGCACCCGAGAGCAGGGCTCAGCACACCTCAGTGTATGCAAGGACTTCGCCTCTCAGGGCGAGCTGGTAAAAGCAGGAGCTGGTGGCTCACTGTTTGACAGGAACTTGATGGTGTGAAACGATGCTCCACTGCAACATGCTGCTGGGGATACCAAGAGTCCCCTAAGGGCCTCCTGCCATTTGAAAAGTTATAGTTAAAGCAGTCACTGCTTTAAACGATTATAAGAAAGAGGTGGACTCTGCTTGGTGCTGTCTTATATCAAGTGTGTGTCCTCCTAAGAGATGCATCTCTATAAAAGAGAGTGGATGTGGGCAGTACCGGCAGGGCACTCTTGCAGTGCCAGCCTGGGCAGCCCATCGGGGCGCGCTCCTCCGCGGGCTCCGCAGAGCTCCTCGGCCCCGGGGA